CAAATAATCTTTTTATGCTAAGATTTTGATAAAAGAGATCATAAATAGACAAAGGAAGATCATAAATTTAATTATGTTACACATAGAGAAAAAAGAAATTTTGATTTTAAATTCCAATCGAAAAAAAAAAATAAAATTTTTATAACCAGACAGTAAAGTGTGAATTTTAATGTTTATATGTGATGACTTACAAAGAATTTTCAAGTGGTATAACAAACAGATATCATATTAACGATAGCTTAGTTTCTACAATACTTAATTTCATGTTGTTTATTATTTACTTAACTCAAATCGATTCTAATTATCTTGATTAGTATTCATATATGAATAATAAAAACCTTAACAACTAAATTGAATAGATAAGATCCTACCTATATTTCATTTATTGATAGATATCATAGATAATGAATCATACTAAAAGCTAATTATAACGTTTTTTGATTTACCTCGAACAAAAGAAACGAAACAATGGTGAATAATTTGCTTTTTTCTATAACCACTAATCAATAAATCGTTCCATTTGAATTATCGAAGAATATGAAACTTTCTAAAAAAATTTCATTCTCTAGAAAAAAACAAGAAAATAGTTTTTTTTTAAATCGTATGATTCTTCATCTTTGAAAATGTATTTTTTTCTCTAATATTAAACTAAATTTATATATTAAAAAAAACAAGAAGACAAAAAATGTTTTAATAAAAAATTCATTATAAACGTTGACGAATAGTTTTATAAATCGCAGCTGTACATTCAATCATAAATGGTACACAACTACATATAGCAAATATTGGCCAAATACGTAGAGCACATTGATGTTGAAGAAGAAAAAAGGCGAGACCAATCGCTGCCGATAAATGAAGTATTATCGCTGAAATAAATAAATAAAATCATTTAAGTATTCTGTTGAATATTTATTTTACAAACCAAGAAATGAACGAGAAAAAGTTATTGATGTTATACCAAGAATTAATGGTATCAGTTCAAATACACAAAAAGCGATTGCTAAAGAATGTGCAACATATAATCTAAATATAAAATATTGTAAATATTTAAAAATACGATGTAAAATTTTACTGATTTCGATAAGAAATAAATGATCCATCATCTCTGCAAGCGTAAGCATTACGTTCCTAGAACAAAAATAAATAATTTTTAAGATTTCAATCGTTTATAACCTACCCAACTCCAGAAACAGAGTCCAATAGCAAGAACATGAAGAACATGAGATAAAAATCGAGCAGAGATTATCCGTAAATACATTTCTTATTGCAGGTTAATTATTCTATATTCAAATGTAAATCATCACTGAACTAGACAAGTTACCATAATTAACGAACGTTACCTCACAACAGCCTTTATATTCAATTTTTTTATAGATTTTAAAAATAAATTTTATTCTAATTTAAAATTTAAACTAATAATATTCTTTTCTTTTTTTGATCAATATAAATAAAATAAATAGGAGCTGTCAATAACTTAATTGGTTTATAAAACACCAATCAAAAAATAGTTTCTTTTCCTAGACAATGACAGTATTATTCATTATTGGAAATTATCAATTATGGCACATCTAAAAACAATTGTACCTAGTTGTATGTATAAAAGATTACAAATACAAATATTTAAATTTAATTTTTATTGTTTCTAGTTGTTGTGCAAGAAGAAGGGTCACGAAAAGTTTTCGTTTATTTAAATATTCCTGAACTCAAAGTAAAACGATCATTTCCTAATTTTTTAAAAGAAATTCCATCAAATGGTGAACAAATAGCACTTGATTTTCGAGATCAGTAAGTTTCAAAACATTTATTTATTTATATTTAAAAAAAACAATTATCTTTCGATTAGATCATTTACATTTACATTAAATGTACTAACAAAAAAACATGAAACAATAGTATATTCACTATCAGTTGCACGATTACCAGGTGAAATTCAAACTGAACGTTGCTCAATTAAGGTTACTTTTTATTTAATGAACAAAATTGAAATAAATTATTTTTGTTTTTAGTATCAACGGGGTGGTTGCTGGATTACGTTGATTAAAGTAGAACCGATGAGTTGGATGAATAGAATTTGTGATGATCTTAGTCCGGGTTTGGATATTCAAGAGAATGATGATCAAAACCCAACAGCATCAGCTCCTGTTCAACCTGTTCAATTAAAAGATACCAATATGCCAGCACCATTTAATATGGTACCTATTGCTCCATCTCCTCCTTATCGACCACCATCAACAAAATCTCCTGCACCACCACCACCACCAGCCCGCTCAAGCAATTAAAATATAGTATCTTATATATTTATTAAAATTTTGACAAAAATAACGGATCTGACGTGTGTATGTATATAAATATGTTTAAGAGAAAGAAAGACATGTTTACTAGTTTCTTTTTCCTTTTGTTATTATTTCTTATGCACGAATTTATGTATAACATTTTTTTTGATTTTTTACCTCAACGCACTTTGAAATAAAAATAGAATTTAAAAATCTTGAACAATTACGAAACTCACAATCTGATAAACACATTGAACTAAATTTAAAATGTTATTTTGACATGTATCACAAATATATAGACGCGATCTTCAATTGCTATATATCATAAAGTTCAAAAAGACATATTTTATAAATCAGTGATGTTACTACAATCAATTTTTCATTTCAAGAGACTTTCGAAGTTCGGATACAGCGGTTTCCAAAATGACTTGGAACAAATCTTCAGTCAGTAGTAAACACTAGTTCAACTGTTTTTATAAAAACTTTTTTTTATCTAGTACATATACAAACTCTATCAATACCATCTTTTTATTTTGCTAATTTCTCGCTTTTATTTACCATTGGTCATACATTTGCAACTCTTGGCTACCGAATATTGTAAGCAATAGTATCTTTGTGTATCGGTGAATATCTCTGAGAGGGAGAGTTTGCATTTTTGAATAATGTAATAAAAAGATATGATGTTGTATTTGACTCACGTTCTTATCTCCATCATATTATCGTTATACAACGATCGAGTAGAAGCCAGTCGAATACATAAGTATTTTTTGTAGATAACTTGTTAAATATAAATGTACAACAACTACCAAAACAAGTTTTGAAAGGATCTAGAAAACATCGAATATTTATATGAACAAATTGTTCCAAGTCTTTTTACAAACCACTATACATACTATTATCGTTTATGTTTTTCCTATATTTTAAAATAAAATCAATTATTCAAATCTATCCAATATAGCGAAATTAATCATAACATTCTTGAATTTAATGCTCGTTTTAAAATAAATGATAAATGGATATTTTTTGTATAACTTTCGATAGAAACAAGATAAAGAGATATCAAAGCGTTTCATTAACGTTTTTTCTAAGACTGTTAGATAAAGCTTTCAGAAAAACAGTATGTCTCTCGACGACAGTATATAAATTTATTGATTGTCGGGAGCGTTCTACAACCGATAGAGAAATGTTTCCATGCGTCGTTATTCTCTCCTTCCAATGAAGAAAACTAAATCCCTCCATCTTGTTCTTATCGAAAAAATTTCAAAAAATATCCACTCGCTATTTATTCAATATAAGTTTGAAATAGGAAGTGTACTAATCAATAAATTTCTCATATTTTACTTGATAATTCTTTCAAACTAGCAAAATTTTTATTTATAACCTGTTCTTTAGTAAAAACCAATAGTTATTAATTACCGGTAAATATAATAAAATAGCATAAAAATTTCAATATATTTTCTAATGATCATTATCAAAATCAATTTGTATTTCACTTGAATGCTATATATTTAATAAAACGTAAGAATAATAAGTTTCATTCCTTTTTTTGATGATCATTGTCGGCATTTCAATACAAATTATAAAAAAAAAGCGAAATTACCGCTAAATCTTCGTTTTTTCCCTATTGTTTCATGTTTCCTATTTTGAATATATTGTTTATAAACAAATCTAAGAAGAGAATAGGCTTATATACATATATCTTTTTCTTCTAATACGGCTATTCAATTATAATCATGTAGATAGGTATTAAACGTTTGTAGTTGTCCGATTGATGATAAATATATAAATAGATCATTTTAACTAACGAAATATATACAACAAATGGCATCGGTCGCACGCGACTCTTTCTCTCTTTTGTACATTCAATTATCTTCTCATGTTTTTTTTTTCTACTGTCATATGGTATTTTTCCAGTCGACTACTAATAGAAGTATTATAACATTTAGTGGCTTTTTTTTCTTCTCTTTCTTTATGAATACAACTATTGACCTGTGAGAACTTATTTAAGAACAACTTATAATGAACATCGAAATTCTCTAATAATCTATCCATCCGTTATATAGGAAAAAGGAAATAAGTGATCATACATTCATTTAGAACAAACACATCGAAAAAAAGAATGAGAGATCTAATATCTTTTCTCCATTTTCCACTTCAAAACAATTCTATTTCTTAAGTGTATTTACTGTCAAATGACTATATATTTGTGAATGGCATTATATTTCCGATGTAACTACCTGTTCATGCGTATTTATAGATAGACAGATTGCCGACATTTATATTAATCTGATCAACAAAATAACTAGATAGATAATAGAAAAAGAATGACAATAAAAAAGGGAAAGTGAATGAACATGTTTCTTATGCATGAATAGTTTAATTATCTTTTTTCAATTGGACAATAATATGAATAGAAAAAAAAAAGTCGCAAAATAAATATAATCAATTGATTTGTATGAGAAAAATAATATAGATAAGTATTTATTCAATGTATTGAGAAACTCTTATTCGAATTGATTTTTCTATTCTGTTTATGAATTATTTCTTAAAAAATTACAACCGGGAGTTAATAATGTCTTTGTTTACAATCAGTTCTTTTGTAGTTTTATCGGCAATATCTTCAAGAGACTCTTCACTACGATGACAATATCAATATACAGATATTGATAAGGTCACTTTACTACCTCATCACTTGCATCTATTGAAAAAATATCCTGAGGCTTGTTTAATACATAGATTCTTTCTTTACTAATAGAAAATGTCTGTTGCCTATTTCATGATGATTGTACATGAAAGATATATGTAGAAATATTTACTTATTATTCATTCGTCTAAAATATCAATAAAAATAATATATATTTTATTGCATATATTCCATTCGATCGTTGATTGGTTGTGTATATATCTGCGAGGGAAAAAAAGCAAAGACTATCTTTATATGTGAGAATTGATAGGATTGGTTGTTACGATAATATTTTTTTTCTTTTTCTTCTCTCATTGACGATTAGAAATCGATCTTGTTCTTTCCTTCTTTCTCTCTCTCTGCTTCCTTCTTTTATTCAATCAATATGAGTTAGTTACGAAAATAGTGAAACAGAAGAATATTTGTAAAACAACAATCTTCCAATGACTAATTCAACAGCAATTGATGATATAGATAGTATTAATTCTAATCATCATCATGTATATTCTTATTTATCACCATCATCATCTTCTTCAGATGATACAAATCCACATTCTCCTATATCATTATGTGATGATGAACAACAAAATTCAAAAGAGAAATCATTAAACACACAACAACAACATGCTGCTAAACCACCTTATTCTTATATTGCATTAATAACAATGGCTATATTACAATCACCATCACATCGTTTAACATTAAGTGGTATATGTGAATTTATAATGAATCGTTTTCCGTATTACAGAGAACGTTTTCCTGCATGGCAAAATTCAATTCGTCATAATTTAAGTTTAAATGATTGTTTTTTAAAAGTTCCACGTTCACCAGGAAATCCAGGTAAAGGAAATTATTGGACATTAGATCCAGCAAGTAAAAATATGTTTGATAATGGTTCATTTTTACGTCGTCGTAAACGTTTTAAACGTTTAAATCAACAACATTCAGCATTTTTTCAACATGGATTACCATCATTTCCTCTCATACCGTTTCCATTGAATTCAACAAAACATTTTTTCCCATTAGTACCATCAATTTCATCATCATCATCATCAACATCACATATTTCAACGTCATTTACAATAGATAATCTTATTGGAACTAATAGAAATATTTAAGTCAGATATATATTAATAAACAATCTTCGTTCTTTTTTTCTTCTTAATGATTGTCATCATGAAAAGCAATAAATTTTATTCACAAGTAAATCAATATACACATAAATATTATCATATGAACAAAAATTAAAATAAACAACAAGAATAAATATCAATTGTTGTTATTCTAATAACATTTAATGTATATGTTCGTTTGCTACAAAAAAGAGGAAACAACATTTCATTTCGCGCATGTCCATATGTTGTTGATGTAAGTGAGAAGGATGACTGTTTTAAGGATAGTAAGTAATAACAATTAGCTTCATCTTTCAGAAAAGATAGATAAAATATATATTGTGAGAACATGCACAGCTGTGTAAGCGTTTCTATGAAGGTCATGTATATATATATATACATAGAATGAAAGTACCGCAATATTTTAAGACATGCTTCAAAATCATGGAATCAGACTTTTTTTTACAGCTTTATGATTAGGGAAATGTATGGGTTTGATTACAAAATGGGAGATATACATTTGAAGATAAACACTTTCTCGGCCCAACCAAGCATATTGTATAAGCTAACTGATTTTGATATTGATAGATGATATCACAAAGTGGAAATCTCACTCTTTTACAGTTTGAAAGCAGTCAATAAAGAAATTTTTTTTCCTATATATCTACATGTGTTCTATTTTATAGTTCCTCTTGTATTGTCTAGATAGATTCAAACAAATAAGGAAATTTTGTTCGGTGTTCTGTTCTTATAAGTTATTTGAATAAACGAATAATATCTATGAAGGTAGAATGATAACAAAAAAACCCAACATGTCAATAGTGTGCCATTACGAATTAGAACAAGCGTTCCTTTTTTGCAATCAATACATCACTAAAGATTTTACTGGAGTGAATATGTATCAGTTTCGAACTGAAGACTAGGTATAGATTTGTCCCATGCTCGTTTGTATTCAAAATCAGTCTAATATACAAGTAGTCTAACTGGATATGCAGTGACAATGGATCACGAGTCGGATTCGATAACGTAAGTACGAATGTAGTATTTATCTCGGATTCATTCACACTCACACTAAGATAAGTAAAATATATACTCAGTACTGCTAGTGCATACTCTTTTTTAAAACTGTCTTATTTGAGTTTTCTAATGAGAGATTTAGAAAATAGCTTTTAGCTTTTTTCTAACATCTACATTTTTGACATGTCAATAAAGAACGCTCAATGGAATATGAATTTGTCAGCATTCGATGAACAAAACATCAGATATATTATGAAATATCAGCTATAGCGAATATCTATGAATATAGTTTTCTCATAAAAAACAACTTTGATATTTATTCTAATAAGTTGTATATAAAATTTTTATTACGAATACTTACTAAAATTAAAAAGGTACTACCTATTCTTTTGTTAGACTTGACTAACCGAATGGAAGCATTTCAACACTGGAAAATATTTATTATACTTTACAGAATTAGTTTACTATCATATTCTTCTAAACAAATAACATAAACAGTTTTTTTTTGAATTTTTATAAGTGAAAAGTCATCTCTCGAAGAATATCACTTAGATTTAATTGCAGAAGTTTAAGTTGACACTTAAAATTTTGTTTTTTTATTCTTGTTAAATATAAGTACGTAATATATATATAAGACAAACATTCCTATAATGTTTATAATCATTCCAATTCCTAGTATTTTATGTTGGAATAAAAGAGCTAGAAATAGATAATTATTTAATATAGCGAAAAAAAGAATAAACAACCGGAAAATACACATGAATAAAATGCATAAATGAAAATATTTTACAAAATATACAAAATAAATTTATGAGTCAGTCGGTTGTGCTAATGCCATGAGAATCATTTTTAATTCTGCTTTACTAATTTTTTTATCTCGATTATGATCACAACCATTTAATAATGTTCGTTTAAATTGTTGTAAA